AGGCAGGACCACATGCTCCAGCTCCTTGTGTTTGCCATGACAACCGGGCTCAGCATCCTCCTCGTGCAAACGCTTCACATCCACAGACACTGGGAGAAGCAAAGAGGACGAACAGCATCTTGCGTCAAGAACTGCCGGCGTGACCGGACACGATTCCTTCAGGAATCTCGGGTCGGTCTCCTTCAAAGCCCCCACGGAGGGCCACAGCCAACCTGGCTGCTGTCCTCCCTGCGGGTCCCACCTCACATGTGGCACACGGGAGGGACAGCCCGACCACTCACCTCGCAGTCGAAACAAGAGCAGGAGGGCAAGGGGGAGATGCAAATTTTCAGGTGCTCCACAACCCATTGGCAAGGTAGCGAGGAACAACATCACAGGCTCCCCGCCACAGGAGGCTTCCATGAGAACCTTTCCTATTGACGACATCAAATCTCCTGCCGTTACTACATTTACAGACATGGAAACTATATTGAGCAGGAAATAGAAAACTAATTAAGTACTTTCAAGTACCAGAGTGACACAGGCATGGCTATGACAGGGAGACCAGAGCTAAATTCCAGGCTGATACGGGACATCCCAGTGGCAAAGATGACAGCAGTGTGCCCTTTGCTAGAGGTGGGCACCAGCCAGGTCCCGCTCCCAGCCCCTTCAGCCAGCACCAAGGGTCACGGCCAGTGGGACCCTTTTTAGTGAACCTGCTTTGGCAGCAGGGTTGAGCTAGATAATCACCAGAGGTCCCTTTGCAACCCTGGATGGTCTGTGATTCCCGGGCAGGAGGTTGCGAAGGGAAGGATCAAGCTGAGCCTCAGCTGGCTGGTTGGGGCAGTGCAGCCGACTGACTTTTGACTTGAAGTTCACTCAAGCTTAAGTGACTTTTTTTTCCTTTCCCTTTAAATAAACCACTTGTGCAGGGATGAATTTTCTTGTACTGTCAGTATCAATAACCCAGGCAAAAGGCTGGGCTGGGAGCACAAGAGAGAGGCAGAGACGCCCCGTGCAGCTCACGGGAGTCACTGCTGAGGGGCAGAGCCACCCAAAGCCCAGCAACCCACAGCAGAAGGCAAAGGCCACCTCTCCTGGCTAGAGAAACATTTCCCAGCCTTTTTCAGCTCGTGGCTTTCTAGCCAAGCAGCATCATTTCAGCAGAACCAGGCACTCTCCAAACCCAAATATTCCCTGAAAAGAGGTGAAAGACTTATTTATTTTAGTCAGCGTAATCATGAGAGCTAGGCTGCCCACACCCGTTCTGCCCCCACGAGCTCCCGAGGTATCACAAATTTCTTTGATCCTGTGGTAACCCTGAAGCACAAGGCGACCTACTTTTCTTCACCACTGTTGGCAACTGAGCTAGGAGAGGCTCTTCTTGAGAAGTTCTTGCAGGAACGATGCCCCTTCTCCGAGCTGGATGCTGAATGGCTGCAAGAGAGAAAGTCAGGCTCATCGAGAGGAAGAGTGAACGGGGCACCGGCTCCTCTCCTGTGCCACATCCTGCAGTGCTTCTCTCAGACAAACACATTACACAGGAACCTAAAACAGGGATGGATGAGCAGAAATCCCATCAATATCTGCCTCACGCTAGCAGAGGCATCATTTCCAAACAAAGAGGATTAAGCTGCGACGAAAGAGAAGACAAAAAAAAAGAGACTGACAGAGCACAGGACTGGTTCCCGTAGCGAGCCACATTCAAAGCCTGTTTGTACGAAAAACGCGACAGCTCAGCGGCTGCATCTCAGATGTCGACCAGTTCAAAGGGAACAGGTTTGTTTGTTCCAGAGCAGGTACGGCCTCAGCTTGGCTCCCACTCACAAAGATCCGTTACAAGAGGCTCAAGGAATACGCTGTCGGAGGGGGGCTAGCCACATTAAATTGGTAGTAGGGATGGGGCTTTTATGCTACTATGTCCTCGTTTATTTAATTCACAAGAAGTCAGGAGGATAGTCTTGCTGCCACAGAGCAGGCATTACTCACCGCACCAGAAGACTTCTGCAGTGCAGAGGGTGTTACGGGGCTTCGGGGTTGTTGGTGGGTTTGGTTTTCATTTTTTTTTTAATTCCCTATTCATACTAAGAGAGATATTAACTGTCAGGCAACCTGTCAAACTGAGCTACGAGCAGATTTATGACACTACGCATTGTCTCATCTCCCCCATCTTCACACTGAAGCGCCTTTGACTCAGCTGTTTCAGATACCTCGTGCACGTTAATGCAAACCAAGAGGTTTTTCAGGACAGACACCATCTCTCCCCAGGTGCCTGTGGAGCACCCTGCACAGGTAACGCCAGTGCCAGCAAGTCAGATCAGAGCCATCTGTGGATGGAGATCAAGGAGAACATCAAAGAGCACTGTGGTCAGAATCAGGTATTTCGTAAAAGCCGTGTCGAGGAGTCTCCAACAGCAAGAAGTTTAGTTATCCATTACTAAGTTCTTACTCCATAAACCGTGAGGAGGAAAATCCCATCTGTGTGAACACACGAGAAAGTGGGCACTGGCTTTTACATAGATTAGAATGAGAATTTTGAGAGATCATCAGAGTGAGCCAAGGACGGTCAGGTGTGCAACAAGGCTGGAAGGGAGGCGAGATAAAAACACAGCACCAGCGGGTAGAACAACATGCTTGACCTCCATCACATGTGCCAAGTGCTACAGTTCACTGCAAAGGTGGAGAAAGCAAAACATGTACTGTTGTCCATCTCAGGAGCACATTACTATTTCTTCAAAATGGAAATAAACCTAAGGAAGTACCCAACCTCTAGCCAGGCTTTCCTAACATCACGTCTTTGATCTAGCACATGAGTTTGCAAGACAGCAAAGCTCTCGTGTGAGTCAGAGCATCGGCGGGTGGGAGGCCCTTGTATGCTACACGCACGTTAAAAGCAAGATAAGCAACTTAATTTTCCACAGCATGATGCGAGAGGCACTGCTGATGAAGTCCAAAAAAGTGTGAAGCTGGCAGCATCCAAATCAGAGACTTGGGGAAACAGCTTTTGGGTAGAGGAAAAGGGCTGGATGGAGGCGAGGGGGCACGAAGGAGAGACAAGCACCTCAGGATCCCAGCGTAAGTAGACAGCTGTAACACAGAAGCTTTTTTAGAAAGTTATTTGATTCCCCCTCCCTCTGAAGGGGTAGACACCAAAAGTAGTTGCACACCAGTACTCCTCCTCATGCCAGCTGAGTACCTGCTCCTCACATGGTCACACAGGTTAAGGCAGGAGAACCTGTACGCTGAGGAGGGACAAGGAGGCGCGATGCTTTTATCTTCTTCCAGGTCTCTGGCATAAATGCTATCTTTAGCCAGACAGTAAGTCCAGAGGACTCAGAGGTCTAATTAAGACAGATTTATAGACCCTTACTGAATTTAGCTCCTTGGGCTCATGCGAGGGGAAGACATAGCTATGGCAGAGTGGGAACAAACAATATTCAGAAACTCTTAAGCAACAACAGTGTGAAACCAGAAGGCAAACCCCAGAAGCTGCAGCACTACCTTCTCTCCAGAAGCAGAAAGGCTCGTCAGCAAGTTTGCTTCCCACCCCAGTCAGCGGGCAGCTGCTGTGGGGAATCAGCCAGTGGCAAACCCTATAGCCCCCAGCTGCAGCTGCTGTGTTCAAGAAGGAACTTGGATGGTAAAGCAAAAAAAAAAACAAAACAAGAGAAAAGACACATGCCCTTCTGGTCTCCTGCATCTGCAGAGAGAAAGGGTCAGCACTACTGCAGACACAGCTCTTAAGAGGGGCACAGATAAGCCCAAACATCTCCAATGTGCAGGCATAAGCGGAGCATTGATATTGTTATCTAGGAAGCAAAGGTTATAAGCTCCTCTCATAACTGCACGGTCCATCCCTTCCCTTTGGGGGCAGAGAGCTTATGTGAACACTTCACGAAGACCAAGCAGAGCATTAACCCAATACCCTATTTTTGTGCCTTGGCCATTTAAGAAATCAGCTTGATGCAAACACAAGAGCAGGAGGTCTGTAGCTACCGGTGACCAAGTCAGTGACAGAGAGGAGGACAGTGAAGGAAAGGCCATTTCTTTTTACTGCTTCTTTTCCTCTGAAGTTATTACTGTCACTTCTAAGAACTATTTACTTTTTCCAAAATCTCAGTAGTCTCCTTCCCTACATCTCCAGCCCAAGCCCATATCAACTATTTCCAAAGCCAGGTATTCTTACACTACAGAAAGTCACAAATAGTACAAAAAAAAGTCGCTTATGCTTGCAACTGATTTTAAAAAAAGACTATTGGTGAGGCATTTGGTAAGAGACAAACAACACAGCCACTAAATCAGATACAAATAGGTAATTTCTAATGAGTAAGACACTAGGCAAATTATAAATACTAAACATTTATTATTTTTCTCATAGGAAGGTTGCAAGATTCAATTTCAAACAACAGGACACGGTCTTTCCTTGCTCTTGGGATTTTGTTTTTTGTTTCTTTTAAGGGGAAAGAAAGAAACTGGTGTATACCAGAAGCAGTGCAAATTTAGATTAATTTCTTTTTTACGTTTACCATCCCAGTGCTGAACTGCCAAGTTAAGCCCTTCCCAGTTAAGCAAAGTCTACCTGAATGTCATCCAGTATCCTGTAAATCACTGAACAAGAATCAGGGCTCCCCTTTTTCTGTCACCCTTCCCCACCAAGAACATACCCAGTATAGTGACAGCCTGGCAGCAACAGTAAAGCCTGGAGAAAGCTAACATGGTGACACTTCATAAAAATTAAACTTGAACAGAATGAAAAGGGACAAAATTTAACCTTCACAACCAGCTGTGCGCGGTGCGGAGATATCCAGTAACGCAGCTCACCAGCGTTGTTTGCCCCGCTTCCTGTTACAAATACATTTTACACATCCACAAAAAGACGAAAGTGGAATAATCCAGAAACACTTTACTCTCAGTTTTAAACTAAGGAAAGGCAAGCTTTTAAACGGGAATCACCGACATGAAAGTCCATCATTATACACCTGGGAACGGAAGGCAAGCCTCGCCTCGTAACAATTGCTCACGATGGGCGAAAGGATTCATTAAAACTACCAAAAAAGCCAACAGGACAGTCGACGGTGGCAGCACCCATCGCCTTCCGAGCCAGCACCGCTCGCACGGCCGCGCAGACGGGAGTTGGCACATGCAGAGTCCCATCGCACCCGGGATCTCGCCTCGAGCAGGAGGCTTCTGGGCCCACGGCTTCCCTCCAGCCCACACATCAGAACGTGATGTTTGCAAGGCCTGGTTGGGGGGAAAAAAGGAAAAAAAAAAGGAGGATGGAGTGGGGAGAGAAACAAGTGTTTATTCACATACCACCTGTACTTCACTGCTATTAGGACAGTTAGACATGGAAAGAAGGATGCTTTGAGAATTTTTATATATTTTAAAAAAACCCCTTAAATGTAAAGGATTTGGTGGGAGGAAAGGAAACTAGGAAACTGGTTGATCTGTACTTTTTGAACCCTTTTTTCACTGCGATGCAGTAATTAATTTCAGTGAGCCAATCTGAAGGAGGACTGAAGTTATTCATAGCAGAAGTAACAACACAGAGGCTGCTGCTGGACCTAAGGGGCTGCTCATGAAATTAAAAAGAGAAAGTTGGGGAAAGTATCATTAATGAGGGCAGTAAATTCACACTGGATGAAGAAAAATTGCATTAGATTAAGGCATATCCATGCATTAGACATTCGATTATCTCCTTTGAAATTTGTCTTTTTTGACTTTGAAGACATGCTGCATCACTTAACCTCGGTACCCAAAACCATCCTAAATACTTCTTTAATCGTGGCAAAGAATAACGCTAGAGATCCCAGGAATACTGGCTGCCACAAAAAGGGGAACTTTTGAGCCTTAGCTCCTCTACAAATAAGTTTCATATAAAGGTCATCACTTTTTATCCATAAGAAATCAAATGGGAAATGTGCAGGTAGAGATAAACTCCATCTGCAAGAGTTGTCTTTCTAATTTGGACACATAACGGCTGTAGACAACCGTCCTTCAGCCGAATCACAATCCTTTCACTTCTTAAGCAACAGCAACATCCATAATCCTACACAAGGCATAAATCAAGTCTCTCTGCTTCAAGGAAATTCCAGTCGAGGAGAGACAGAATTTTCAAAACAAAAAGAACACATAAAAGAATTAACTTCAGAGGGAATTTTCTCCCCCAGGAGAAAGTAGCATGGAAATGTTAGGTCTCAGATGGATGTAAATGGGGACAGCAGAGAAGAAGACTGGGCTAAGTAATACAAATTTATTTTTATGTTGTCAGGATACTGTGATTTCATATACTGTGTGCCCATATGGCACTTTACACGCATAGGATTTGTAAACCTTTCAATTAGCACCGATAGTATAAAACAGGCAGCTATTTAAAGTAACCCACACGGCATCTCTCGGTGCAAAAATTCTAACTCCCTTGTACCGCACAGGTGTTCTGTCGGACAGCTCAGATGCCTGTAGGGACTGTGGCTCGTATCAGGAGCAGTGTGGCCAGCAGGAGCAGGGACGTGATTCTGCACCGGTGCGCGGCACTGGGGAGGCCTCCCCTCGAGCCCCGTGTGCCGGGATGGGCCCTGACTGCAAAAAAGGCAGTGAGGGGCTGGAGCGGCTCCAGAGGAGAGCAACGAGGCTGGGGAAGGGCCTGGAGGGAAAGTCCTGTGAGGAGAGGCTGAGGGTGCTCAGGCACTGGGATGCTCTGCCCAGGGCAGGGGGGAGTCACCATCCCCTGGCGGGGTTTAAGGAGAGGCTGGATGTGGCACTTGGTGCCTGCTCTGGCCCATGTGGGGGTTTTGGGACATGGGCTGGGCTTGCTGAGCTCAGAGGGCTTTGCCAGCCTCAACAGTTCTGTGATTCTGTGACCCTCGAAAGCCCGTGGAGAAACGGTCATGAGACACCAGCTGGGAGGTGTTCACAGAGAAGCAGACCCCACTCCTGTGACAGGGTATTATTTCCAATATTTATTTCCAGGCTTCCCACATTGGGATGGAAATAAATACAGGAAATCCCGATGTGGGAAGACTGGAAATAAATACTGGAGGTCACCTCCCAGGTGTTGGAGAACATTTACCCAGATTACTGCTGTCTTTCGAAGCCCAGCAGATGCAGTAGTGCTGCATGAGTTGCTCAAACAGTTCCTTTTCGTCTAGGAATTCAAGTCCTTCTATTCTGTGGAAATAAAATAAAAAAGTCATTTACGCTAGAGTCTCGGTATGGTTTTTTCTTCAGCTCCACAGGAGCAAAACATCGGGCCAATAAGGCAGTTACCTTTCTAGGAAACGAATGCAGGTATTTGTCCCTAATGAAGACACCGTCCCGCCTCCCAGCCTCTGCTGTCAATGCACAGAACAAGTGACCCACAAGATACGTTCAACTTCTCATCCCCCGAATTTCGCATTACGTGACTCATCTGTGCAACGTCTCACAATTACCAGTATTTCTCTTCTGACCCTTTTTTACTGCATGTATGTGGTCTTGCTGGATTTAAGCAGACACAACGGCACAGCCTAACGGAAGGAGATTTATCCTTACCAAAGGATTACTGCGAACGGTTGCAGATACCACACAATCACAACAGGTCCCTATTATGTCTTGGAAGAGTGATGGGTCCATCAGTGCAGCTTCTAACAACTCTCCCACATGAGCTCATGACGAAGCACAAACCAAATGGCACAGATCTGATCGGAGGATTTTTTTTCCCCTAAAACGGTTCGTCCCTAGGATTCTTCAAGTAAGATCTTGGAACGTCTTCCACCAACCAAATGGGAGAACTTCTCCCAAGCTGTGCTCCCTTTAAAAAGTTTAACCTGGCACATTCTTCTCTCTCGCTCTAGATTACTTGAATATCAGAGTGTTTATTTTCCATGCTAAATATTTGGAAAGGCGGCTACTGAGGATCAAAAGAGGCAGAGGGGCAAAAGTCCCTAAACACACTCACAGATGTGTGAGTGCTGCAGAAAACACTTTTGTAAAGATTTTTATAAGTAGAAAGCATTATTTGCCTCATTAATACCAAAGGACAGAGTTTACATAACCTATTTCTTGGCATTTGGAACAAGCGGAAGGAGCTGAACAGATCTAAGGTAGTCAAAAATGCTGCAAAAAAAGTACAAGCTATGTCTCTCCACAAGTGCCATATGGTGCAATCACACAGTCATCGTTCCCATTTAAAGGGCCTGTGTTTTTCAGTCTCACCTGTTCAGTTCCACGTTTAAGAAATCCCCATATGTGAATACTTACTTTGACGAAGGTAACTTGTCCAGCTAATTCAAACTCTAGTTAATGAGTGACTCACAGCAATTCACACTTCATATCACATACTGAGGAAGTAACTCTTTAAAAAGTGTCCCCCTTTTTGGCTCTTCTTACATCCAACAAATTTAACAAAAATGCATGCAGATCACCGACTTACAGAGCGGCCTTTAGTGACACCCTCTCTGCCTGCAGCCCCAGCAGCCTAGCTCCTGAAGATGCCACGACTGGAAGACGCATCCATCCATCGAGAGACCGTCCCACCGCGCTGCTGGGCACACTTCTCCTCTCCCTCCCTCCTTGTCTGCACAGCACGGTATGTCACAGCACTACAGTACTGCCCTGCCTCGGCTCACTACCTGAATACGCTGCCAAGGAAGAAGGGGGGGAAGATGAGAACTAGCTATTTTCCACCTACTAGTAGTAAAATAAAATAAATAATCAGACTGATATGTAATCTTCCCTAGGCCTGCAAGACTGAAGCAAATACTGGGATGTCACCTCCCATAGGGACATAAAATTGGCCGCCTGTTCTGAGGGTATTTTGGGACTCCACCTATCTAGTGTTGTGGAGGCTGGATGTTCGCAAGAAACAACTCGGGTGCTGTAAAAACTCAACACAGCATTTCTGTAGCATCTTCTCTGCAAATTTCTGTCATGAGATGCTGTACATCACACCCGAATAAAACACCACCACTGCCAGCCTACTCCTGGAAGCAAGAGCCTTCTGGATCATTAATGTTGCTCCAGGCGTTATCCTTAAAGCTCTGCAGAGCTTCAGGCCCAGACACGTTCTGTCCACCTGGCTAGCGTGATCAAGGGATCCCGTATGACATATTGACATGAACTACCTTGAAAATGGCATCTGAAGACGACTTTTGGCCGCAAGCAAGCTATCAGTAATACCTTTTGACATCAGCCTGTGGCAAAAAGCTGTACACTTTCATCATATCAATGGCACGTGCCGTCTCCCAGCCGTTTAACAGCAATCGTTCCCTCTGTAAAATAAACAAGCAGCGCAAGTTTTCAGGGGACTCAAGGAAAAATTCCAGAGAACAGTTCTTCCTACCTAATGATTTTCTAGACCATCTGCTTGACCTGTTCTTTGAAGAGCTCTTACACTCTTTTCTAAACATTTGCTGCTGCTAACCTCTGCGCAGAGAGGACAGCGGGCGAGGCAGAGCTGCGTTCTGATCTACTGCGGGTTTTGTACAACTACCTGAAGTGAGAGATACTGAGCAACCAGGGCACTGCTAACGGGGAACCGCTGCAACACCAACAGGAAAAGGTTTCAGCAGGTAGAGCTGCCCCGCTCACCCCCGAACCTGCTTGGGTCACTGCTCGGGTCACTGCTCTGGGCCTTACGGTGCACACACAGAGGCATTAAGTTGGTTTAACAAGGAACAGAGCCAGAGCTCTGGGCCCCTTTACCTGAGAGTCCAAGGACCTGCAGACTTCCACTCCGGCCAGGTTACACTGTCGTCTCTGCAAGTTCTCAATCATGATCTGCCCGAACCGGTCCGTCATATTCACCTCAGGTAGAGAATGAGACAAAAGTGTTCCCCCTTTCGAAAAGAACGTAATCGCAGTGAAAAGCAGCAACATGGTTCTCCTGAAGCGTCTATGCCATAAACCAGCCAGGATAACACTACAGTAAGTTTCACAGTTTTACGCCAGGTCTCATTTCCCACTGCCACAATCTCCTCGGCCACCTCAGGTTTACAAGTCGAGGGCCAGTTTAACGGTGACAATGGTACCGCCTCTAAGGACTGGGTGCTGAAAAGTGACTCTGCTCTGAGATGTCGGAAGCTCGGTTCAGCTCTCTAGCAGGGATTTACAGCTCGGAAGATCCCGTTACTAATTCCTGGAGCCACTCAGTTCCCCTGCGGCAGCATTTTACCTCCTCACAGAGAAGCTGAGTTCATGCTGATGTGATTTTCACTCCACTTTGTCAAAGAACACAGAGAGGTAATTATGTAAAGCTATACACTCGTACCCAACACTTGGCGTTGGTTCCTTTTCCTCTGGCTTGTCTAAATCAATATTCTATAGATTTTGCCACACATAGATTAAGTCACAGCCATTTAGCTTCAATATAAAGTAAATTGTCCAGAATTTGTCTTTCACAATAGCTGTATATTCATTACAACATGCTAACAGATCTACAAGATAAAGCACATTACTAAAGAAATCCAGCAGAAACTGCTGTCTATACAAAAGGACACGGCTCAGTCTTATTTTACAAGCAGAACTCCAAATTTTATGACAATAACGCAGGTCTAAAAATGTGATTTTTGTTTTTACCTGCTCATAATTTATAAACATCACCACTGGAAAAGTGCTTGCTGCCCACTTTAGAAGATCTGCAGATTGCTGTGGCGTCATGTAAACCAGCACACACTCCGCTACCAGAAGCGTCGGCAAACTTTAAAACAAAAAAGAACACAAAACTCAAGAGAACTATTTCCAGCAACAGAACAAGAAAAATCTATAAAGAATTATTTAGTAAGCAAGTCACTTCATGGCCTTCAATTTTCTTGAAAGAGCTACCCTTTTTACGAACTAGACATTTTAGGCTGAAGGAAACCACTTCATCCAGTTGACTAGAACTGGGTTTTCTGGCAGTCGACGAATTAACCACAGAGGACTCCCATGGTTACAAAACAGAGACATTAGGAAACAGCCTCCCCGGAGCCACACCATGAGCACAGAACAACGTGTGTTCCGCAAATCTTCTCTGAACTGTGACAGCACAAATACGTATTAAAATTAATTTCGCAGAAGAGTTGTACCCTTGTCACATGATCCACGCTCTTTTAAGGATCAGTAGAATTAGCAATAAAATGCAATTTGAAAAAAAAATATGGTTTCCCTTCTAAAAAAAAAAGTTCTAAGAAGAATTTTAGTTAGACAAATTTGTTCAGTATCTGTAAAACAAACTTCACATCATTATCTAACAAAATCTATAGCTTGCACATTGCCTCTTCCCCCTCCATCCACAAAAAACCACCCAAAATAGACATCTACACAAGTAATTTTCCTCAGAATCACAGAGTTTTCTTTTAATTGGTAGAATGAACAGCAAAAAGAAAAGTCACTAGAAGCAGGCGAAATTCCACGAGGTGCGGCAATGTAGGCAAGCAAGGGAAGATTTCAGAAGATGGAAGTGTAAAGATTTAAATGGCAATTTGATGCATTCTGCTTACCCATATGCTCTCTCCCACCCAGCCAGATAGCCGCTATAAATACATCTCATATTTGAAAGGTATGTCCATCATCCACTCTAAAAACTTAAATCCTGCCCCCTCCAGAAGCTTAGTGCGTGAACAATAAAATCCCAGAAATTCACTTCTGGAGTTAAGTTCTCCGAGGACCCCGTGGCAATCACGGTACCAAAAGGTCTAGGGAACAACGAGGGGGTTAAGTGGAGGCAATAGGAAAGAGTTACAAAGTCTGAAACAATTTAACATTGATATAACTCAAGCTAAGCTCCCAGAAATCCTGACTTGCACTCCTTGGGGGTGGAAGATGTTCACCACTCTGGGCGCTGCCCATCAGTCAGCGTTAAAACTAAGTTCGACTGAACCAACTCCTAAAAACCCCTCAAAAAAGCAATTTATAATGACATCTTGATACATCTCTCATTCAGAGGTTCCCCTTGAATGCCATGATTTATTAACTAAATTTCAAGCGAATTCAAGCGAGGGCTAACTCTTCCAGAAATCTCCAACAGGTTTCAATACACGAAGTATAAAAAAAAACTTTATGAGCTCTGAGGAAGAAAATGGCTGCGGGAACTCACCAGCCCCAGGGCAAGGGACGGGGAAAGCGAGAAGGAATCGCAGCTGCCTGCCCTGCAACTGGAGCTGCGGCTTGTGCAGAAGGATCACAGACCCCAAAGCGAACCGACCCCCAGAAACACTCACAGAAAGCAACGCTTCACCCCCTGCCCCCCTCGCCGCGTTTTAAGAACAAGAAGCAAATAGTTCTGTAAGGTCTGATCTCCTCAGGAGGGAGGAAACCGCAGTTTTGGGGATCACACCACGCAAGGAATGACCTTGCTTCAGATTCGGAACTCCCAAGTGTTGCGGGCAAGGGCAGCCGGCTTGGCTGGGGGAAGCCACGTGAGGTGTCTGAACAATTCCTTCTGCTCCAAGGGCGCAGGGAAAGGTAACCATGGAAATGGCACACGGAGCACCGGGGGCACAGACGGGGTGCCCGAGCCTCACTTTACTCTCGCCAGTATGCTCCCACAAACCCTCATAAAAAAAACCCCACAACTGATTTTAAAAACAAAAGCAATTAAAAAAATCTTACTGTATATCCAGGTTATGTTTCTTTAGCTTTTCCTCCAGATCTGACGAGAAACGGAGATCCGCTCCCACTATGGCGTAGCGAGTGGAGTCTAGGCTGTGAGAATCTGCGAGTTTAAGATTTTGAGAGACTAACGGTTATAAGTGAGAGGGATGCTGAAATGACAAAAAACCCCCAAACACACAGGAACATACGAATGTGAAGTCAAAGTTTGGTGTGTTATACCTCACAACTCACAGCACGCTCTGTCAAAAGAACATTAATTTCCCTTCTACCTGCCGGTGTGGTTTACATGAACACCAGGCTCTGCATCAAGCCGGCTCTGGCTCTGCAGCCACCCGAACGCAGAGAGGTTATCCCACCGTTACCATGGTTTCAAGGAATGCAGAGAGAAGAAAAATGTGAAGACTAAAGGCAAGCTTTTTTGTTTCATTTGTAGGCTTTTCAGATGACCCAAAGTACGCACATAAAGAACTACATTTGAAGAAAGTACATAAATTCCTGAGAAACTAAGCTAAGAGCAACAATTTTCCAACCATTGACAACAGATAAAGCTATATAAATTAAGAAAGCAGATAGCTATAATATATATTGTAAATGTATAATATTTATGGGTATTACACACAGATTAGGGGGCCAAAACAAGTTCTCTTTTAGCCTTTTCGTATGACACAGCAACAGCACCGACGTGCAGAAAAACAAACATTCACCCTGGGATACGACAGGCAGCGAGCTCCTGTAAACGCTTGTCAGAAAGGAGGAACTAATCCTGATGGCACTCGGCCACACCAGCAAAACTGTGAGGAAGCCAGCAGGAGCACCTTGCTATCAAATAATTCTGACAACCACGTAAAATCAATTCAACTGGGTGAGCTCGGGCCCCACAGAAAGCGTTTTACAAGTGCAGCGTCCAACCCACTGAAAGATGTCGAGTTCTGCGGGAATACGTGGAGTCGCTCCTTCACCCTCGAGCTTTACTGGGGTGAAGTGGTCAGGGCAGAAGAGCGCACAGTTCTCCCCTCGTGCCCTACGCCTGTGACACAGCAGTAAAATAAATAAGCTCAGCAGTGAAAAAAAAGGAGCCAGACACCCAGAGCTTGGGGAGGAGAGAAAGAGCAGCCATCCTGAGACAGGAGGGACACGGTTTTCCATTTCAGGAGAGGAAAAAAAAAGAAGGAATTGGGGTGGGAAGGCAATTTATTAAATTGAGCAGTGCTTCAAACATTCTGGAAGATGTATCTCCCTTTAGTTTCCAGCTCACCAGCTGTTTGAAAATGGCACTAGCAAGTGGCAATAGCTGTCTTTCCAGCAATGTTCCTGAGCAGATACAGAAACCAGAACAGTTCATGCAGAGAGTTACAGGGGGAAAAAAAGAAGAAAAAAAAAGTTGTGTGGCAAATGATTCAACATTTTGAGTCAAGGCTTTTTTCCATGTGCATGTTCTGTAATAGCTTTACTACTTCCCACACCCTTCTATTTAAGTTATTATATCAAGGCCATGATAATGGCATCCAAAAAAGCCACATAAAAAACCCTCACCACTCACAGGAAAGCATTTATACAGTGATGGGTTTGCTGACCGGAGATAGAGCACAGCGAGCATCAGTCACCACAATTAGTATGAAATTAATGCAATCTTCTCATCTTGCTTCATCGACTTGGACGTACCAGTACATTAATTATAACCAGAAATAAACCATGAAAATCTTTAGTGATCCAGAAACAGAAGTAGTACAGACACTTCAGAGGTGGAAGCAAATGTCTCTTGCTCACACCACGTTGAACTGAGCGCTTTTATCCCCGAAGAACAGGAAAAGGGCAAAAACCTCTCAAACTTTCCATTTGAAAACTTTGTCCTTCAAAAGAGTCCAAATTTCAGCAACTGGAATTACGAACGGCATTTGTCACCCACCTGAGGGGATGGCCCAGGGAAGGAATCCGAGTGATCCTCGGGGCTGAGCTGGGGAGCCCAGCACAGGGTGGGGTTGGGAGACAGAGGTTATGGACACATAGAAATAAAACCCTACAGCCACACCCTGGTTATTCTAAGTTAAGTAAAAAAAAAAAGCAAAACCCCCACCAAACTAGAAGAGGTTCCTCTGAGGGCAATTTGCTTCAATGGGAATATTCTGTAAAACTTAAAGCCAAGTATAGTTAATGCTTTAATACAGGACTCCTTACAGCAGAAAATTTGAAAAGGCCAAGCAAGCTGACGAGGAATGGATTGTCCTCCTCTCTTCAAAAGTCTTTCCTCCCACTGCAATCGCTTTACTTCCACTTCCAGTACCCAGCCTGCCTGCTTCTCCTCCTTGGGTCCATTCAAACAGAATGTACTTGTTCCTCCACACATTTTCCTGCCAACTTCCCGCGACTCTCCATTGACGGTTGTTGGCAAACACAACCACGGATAGTACCGAGGCAGCGCTGCACACGCCGCGTACGCAAGCTGATACAATTGCTGAAAACTGTGCATTTTAAAACGCATCCGAAAGCGCCTCGCTAAATACCTCCATAATCCATATATTTCAACATTTATGATCAGTACTTTTATCGTGAGAGAAATCTTAGGGAAAAGGATGAAATTTACATCAGCCAATTTTAACCCGCAAGAAGAGAGGTTAAAGGGGGGGTAGAAAAAAAAAAGGCAAGAGGTGAGAGTTTAAGCTAAGTTTCCTCCAAATTTCCTTGTACGATTTTCTGCCAGCTTCCACATGGCATTAAAAATTCCTTTTGCACATAAGCCAAAGGGATGAAGAGATCATACTTAACCAGGCAAATGACCTCAGGATTTAACAATCGGACCGAGAGCCGCTCCATCACCACACGCTCACACAGCCCACGCTCGCTCACGGCAAGGCAGCGGCAGCTGCCAAAAGCTGAAGTACAGTCATGAACGCCCAGAAAACACCGTGCTGCTGGTTCGTGGTCTGGCACCAGTTTTGACCTGTTGCAGAGTCTGATGCTCTTAAGTATGAAAATGTGCAAAGACGCTGCTACCCTGACTGAGCGGCGTTTGCCCAAGTGTATTTTACAATACCTGCCTATCTAGGCAGAAAAATAAAAAGCCCGTTTCAGCTTGGTAGCACAGTGCTCTCAATTGATTTCCTCTTAAGAACAAGGAGTTTCTTTTAACTGACGCAATTTTTTTTTGGCATTAGAAAACCCCACCTGTTTTTTTCCCTCCTGTAACCTTGCTCTCCTGAAGGCGTCTGCCACAGCGACCGCCCCGCAGACGAGAGCCCAGCTCGCTCCGTGAGATCTCTGCCGCTGCCAGGGGTGCTGCTGCCTTCTCTCTTGGCCAGCCTGGAGACCCCCACCCAGACCGCACCAACACCCAGCTCAGGGGCACTTCTCAAGCAAACGGGGCTGCCTCGTTGTGACTCAAGCCAACCGCCCCAATGCTGGCTCAGACAGCAACATTTGCTGGCTTAACCCATCGAAAATCCCACATTCCAAGCACTAATTCCTGCCCAAGCACCACTACTTCGTGTTGGTTTTCAGCAAAGCTATTTGGTCATGATGTTTTCTAGAGCACGGAGCCACCTCATGTTCTATTTGTGATGCTCGCACTCGGCACATTTGGTTACATACAAAGTTTCTCTCTTGTACTTGTCTGAAAGGAAGGTTTCAGAAATACCAGATTCGGTTTTCATTCGCAATGTGACCCAGAAACATCTGGCCCAGCCCATCAACCCAAGGCCGACTCTCTCAGCCTGGCTGCACACTCCTAACGCGACAGAGAATGCTTTGCTCCGACCTTGTCACTCATACGTGGATTTTCTATGACTTTCGGCACAGAAATAACAATAGGAGCGGTCACCATTGCAGTAACTGAATAGCAGCAGGAGCTGCCTTTTGACCTCACTGCAATAAAACCTGCCCTCACAGAAACATGCTACCAGCAAGGCAACGCTCTGGTTCCCAGCAGCCCTCAGGCACTCACCCGCCACCTGAACCCGGCTGCTGCAGCGGCGTTACGGCCTCCCAGGCACACGAAGCGCAGTGTTCCCTCTGCTACAAGAAGCCAGAGTTTCTTTTTGTTTTTTTTTACTCAGTGAAACAATTTCCTGGAGGTTTTCCAAGAGACAGCACGCAGGGTGCTATTGACTCCAACTGATTTCATTAGGATTTTCAATCTAAGGTATCCCCGGCAGCTTTACCAACAACCAGCCCATACAACCTACTCCGCAGGCACGATACAGCATCGGTCTCGCTCAGGTTAACTACAGCATCAGAAGAGGGTACATGTCAAAACACAATTTACTTCGTTTTGCAAGCAACGGCATCATCCCCAACACAAGGTAGGCAGTCACCGAGGCAACGCCACCTCTGACACCCGCGTTGGGTCACAAGCGAGTTTGGAAAGGTAGGAAAAATGTTAAAAACACCGGCTCCCAGGCTGGATAGAAACAGAAAGCGTCCAAGTGGCACTGAAAGGTGATAGTTCACTGAAGCGTAGTTTGCACTTGCAAGGTAGCAACAGTGGAGTAATCCCCAACCCTGGCGGCTGCATCGTAAAGCCGAGCGTGCCGCTGAATTCTGCAAACAATTCAGCCTGATACTGCCCCAGCGATGTCAAATCACTGCACGAATTACTGCTTCCCCTGGAGATCTAACACTCCCCAGGAAATGACAAAACTGCTCAGTGACAAGTGTCATCTTGCTGCATTCGAGGGCAGAGGCCACAAATATCTGTACAAGCCACGCTGTCATTGCTTCGTCTCAATGGCAAGGGGAACGCGGATGACAGAATCAGAGAATCGTTGCCCCGAAGCTGGTAAAGCTGTCTGTCAGCACTAGGTTCATGAAATTAAAACATTCAGTGTGAGAAGAAAAGCAGTAAAGCCAACAAGAGTCACGACAATCGATATTTCAACAATTCCAAAAACAAATTCCAAAGCATCTAAACGAATTATTCCTGGGATACGTGAGACAGCACTGCGGAACCGACTGAGAGGGGAGCAGGGAAAGGGCAGGACAACCTCCCTCGCCAAGATTCCAGACACTGAGATCGGCAAGACATCACCTGCCAAGGGAGAAGCCAAAAAGAGGGCAAACATGTACTACCAGCACTGGCGTCTTTGTGGTTTTCCATCTTTTTTTTTCCTAAGAATCCTAAAATTTGACCTGGATTTCTGGATCACTACGGAGCCAAAGTTTTCATCTCTCTATTGATTCTACTACCCAGCTCTTGTACGCAGGCAGCACCACTCAGCCAGCAGCCCATCATTTATATGTGAGGCACAAATTATTTTTCCCACCCATGTGCATCACTTTATTATTAGTCCACATTGAATTTATCACCAAGTCACTAATTTCACAAGATTCTTCTCCAGCTCTTCACCACCCTGAAGAGTTTGGACTTGCCAACAAGCTGCCACTTACGATCATTCTATTTCCCAATCCTTTCTTAGTGTTGAACAACAACATATCCTTAAACACAGATCTCCATCTCCCACCATAATGAAAATTAAGAACATATGCCTACCCTCCATCCCCAGCTCTTTATCCATATGAGAACCATTCCTTCCTCCCACAACAACCATGCAACTTCTTTGGCACCTTTTGGTAAGGGACACTGTCAAATCACATTTTTTTTTCGATTCAAGCACTATATTAATTGGATGTCCTTTTCCAACATATCTGTTGACTCCTACAGAGAACTCCAATAGTTTTGTGAGGCGTAATTTACTTTCACAAAAGCCATGCTGGCTCTTCCTCAACACATTATATTATTCCTGTGTTCTACCGAGTCAATCTCTTAGAGCTGCTGCTATCTTGTCCAGCGGAGACATCAGCCCTACTGGCCTGTCGTTCCCTGGATTTCTCCTGGAGCCCCTTTGAGTCACAGGCACCACCTTCCAGTTCTCAGGTACTAAGTTTTAAAAGGAGAGGGTATACACCAGCTGGTGGCCGAGTGAATTCACTGTCAAGCTCCTTTAGATCTGTAAGAAATGCCTTTTCATCTGTATGACTTGTCTGTTTACTGGGGCACTTCCACACGAAGCAGTGCCACTAACTCCTTAAATGAGAGCTCCTACACGGATTTCACTCGAGCTGACCTGTGGCTGTCAAGCCACAGTTCACACTGGGATTCCCCAACAGAATTCCACTACCTCCAAATATCTGGACCTTACGCTACAGCCCAAAGATCGCAGTGTAGCAGAGCTTATACCAGCTTGGCTACAGTAAAAATTGCTACTCTGAAGTATTTAAACTCAGCACTGAGAAAGAACAAGAGAAACAAGCCCCTCCCGATCCATTCAGTGATACATTAATTGCTGTTGACTGCTGTGACTTGCTAATTAGTAGCTTTTGATTACAATACACCACTGCAACTTGATAACTTGGCAGTTATTTTGCTGTACTCGACATATCTACAGCTGTTCAGTAACACAGATCCTATCAAACCCTTCTGACCGACCTTGTATTAATGCCTTTTTAACAGCGCTTACGCAGCACAGCTCGCTGTACATAAGCAATCTGCTAATAAGAAGGTCTCCTAGCTGAAACACAGCCATGCTCAAGAGCTCTGTTTTCTGAGATGGGGCACCAGGCTTTCACCTTCTGAGAGCTGAACGTACAATGGAGAATTAATTCTGCCATTCAAAAGACACCTAAAAGGTTGGCAAGTTAAATCCCTTTAAAATGCAGCAATAAATTGTGCGTAACATGCACAAATTTGCACGCTCAGGTCAGCGTGTGGCAGTACTCGGGCACAAGTTAAAGCACTAAAAGAGCCTTGGGGTGAAGCACCTACACCGTGCCAGTGGCAGCACGAGCACAGCTCCTCACTCTCAGTGCTCCCCATCAGGCTTTCGAGGACTTCTCCAAGCCCTCCAGGATCCTTAGCTAGAATTGTGCTTATTAAAAGCACCCATACCTGTGATTGTATCCAGGAACAGAAAATCCTGCTAGCTCCAGTTTGGGGTCACATCTACCAGCATGAATTAGTTGGCATTGTAGATGCAGATAATTACTCCTTCTCCTAAAGGGTCCAAAGCAGCTACGACAGGATCTGCTGTTTGGGCATTGAAAACATTACTCAACGGAACTCAGCTTTTTTTGCTTCCACAAGCAAGGAGGTTTTGTGAATTACAGTCCTGACACAAAGATAATGAGGCTATAAGCCAAGACAGTACAACCACAGGACGCCATCTGAATCTAATATCCTCTGAGTACTAATACGTAACAAATGGCCCTGGTTCCTGAGAACGGACTTTGCAGGCTGCACTTCTTCTGGGAAGACTCCGCTAAATGTAAAGCTCTTAGTGATACAGAAAGAAGAGAGAGAAAAACACTTGGGAGATATTTTAATCCAGCATACATGACTATCAGGAGCACTTTTCCTTTCCTGTGACAGAAAAGAAAATGTAACTCGAGCTACATATGAGAGAAAAAGAAAAAAACCCAATAACTTTCTGGCAGAATAAAACCACTTCAAGAGAAGACATCTCTAACACGACAGAGAACAAATGGGCAGGAGTCTGTAAGAGAAGAAAAAAGCCTCTTTTCCCTCCCAATTCTCTGTCCAAACAGCATTTCAAACATTAAAAGCCTGCCCACATAGCAGAACAAAATGATCAGAAAAGTTTTAAAAGTGCTGCAGTACATTGCTGACTTATTTTTAAGATGACTCACCTATTAGAAGAGAGTCTCCTGAATGGGATTCCATAATTGGTTTTGACAGGGGAGGTTTTGATCTGTGGGAAGAAGGAAGAAGCATCTCTGAGCAGTTAAGCTTCTTGAACAGTGTGCTTACATTTTATTTTTTTTAACATATATATATGTGTGTGTGTGTGTGTGTGTTAAACACAGCCAAGAGAATACCTCTGCCCTCTACTGGAAATAAAAACGTTTGCAAGCCAGGCTTTGCAATAATTTGCAGTTAAGCTTTATACCCAAGGGCTCTCGAGTTTTGAGGTAATCTTTCAAGAGAAATCCAGACGCTCTCTTCAATATCCTCCATAAACCTTAATGTATTTGTTCAAACAGAAAATTCACCTACAAGATCAGCTACTCTAACTTGTAAGTGTGGGAAATTATTACTGCAAAAGTAAAAGAAGACTTAATCATCTCTGATCATTGTGAGGCTTCCCCTGCCCGTTATATCTGACAGAATTAAGAATAAAGTCTGCTTTCCTGCCAAAAGCTTCCACATATCAGTTTCTCCAAGTTGGAACAGTGGCTGCACAGCACATGTATGACCTGGCTGCATTTCTAAATTTAGGATTTATTCCAAAACCTAAAGCATGAAGAGTTTCTCAGAAGAGAGATGAAATATCTGTAGCTTGCAATTCATGACATTATTCTGCATTATATTGTTTCACATTGCTAAACACAAGCATTATACTTACTTGATATTATGTATTTTTCTTGCAACTATCATTGGAAAATCCACTTCAAAATATTTTTTAGGGAGAAGATTTTCGTCCTAAGAATTGGAGTAAGACTAAAATTAGGGACATTCAAGTTTCACATGCACGTGACAAGAAGATACAACCTTAAGTCCTAAACGGTTTTGGGTCAGTTTACACCACCATTGGTATCAGTGGCATAACTCGGTGTCCCACAGCTTAAAAAACCAAAACCAAAGCACCAAAAACAGTTCAGAGACATTAGAATGTTGTCTAAGCATTACGGAAATTATTTAATGTTTTATATAATGCAGCAATCCTAGGCACTAGGTCACTGAAATGCACATTCCAGCAATGTATTAGCAGGATCTGGAAGGACAGAGCAAGAGGAAACCATCACATCTCCCATGTGCCCTCAGTATACTCTTCCAGGAAAGGAATTAGGACCGTGTTGCCCAGGTTTATGTAGAAAGTGACCACATTCCTCAGTTTGTCCCCAAACCGACAGCCAGCCGACAGCGTGCCGGTGTTCCTCTACTACGAGAAAAAGGTGAAAACCTCTCCACTTCATGTTGTCACTCTCTGACACCCTGAAAGATAAGCTGTACCAAGTTTCTCCCTATGCAGCAATCCTTTTGTGAGGGAAATGTCCTGCTAGTTCTGTCAGCCTCGGGAATTTCTGACCAGATTAAATCAGCAGTCAGAGCCCTGACGTGCTCACTTAACTGGCTCCCGTCTTCTGCACCTTAATTGTACCACACCTGCTCTTTACCAGGGGAAGGAATTGGAATTTCAGGCCCCGCTTCAGCTTCTGAAATCACCATTGCAGGAAAGTTAATAAAACTGTGCAGAGATAATTTTTCACAGGAATGCAGGTAAGAGAAAAGCTTCCTGTCTCAGCAAAATTCATTACTTTTTCCCTTCCACTGACTGAAACACAACAAATTGTGACCAAGCAAAACGTGATCAGCCTCCTTGGGCTTTCTTCCAGAAATTAAATTTACAAATGTAAAGACAAGATGACTTAGAGGTGTGTTCGTTCAGCATGACATCCGAATAATCTGAATTTTTGGGCACTACATACACACATACAAATGGGTGTATATACTTACATATATAAACTCACATTGATATAAATAATCCAGAAACATCTATGCAGAGCCTGCACAATCCTGTGCTTTGGTTCCTTACTCCTCTCCTAATCCATGACAAACAAGTGAAATCTTAAGGCTTGAGGAACACAGCAAACCGGGTTCAAGCTCTGTTGCTGAAAGTCCACTAGAGGTCAGCTTCGTGTCACGCACTTTTTGGTAAAAGTCCCTGAAAGCCGCCGCCCCTCCAGGCACTGAGGTTTAAAGGTCCCTAAACGAACTCTAAGCAAGCTGAGAAGGGAGGCTGAGCAGCCAGGGCAGCCGGCTCACAAACTTCACTCACATCTCAAAAAAAATTCCTGTCACCAAAATTAATAATAACTAAAAAAAAAAACAAGAGCACCAAACAAAACCAGGCAATTTAGACACACAATCCACCCTTTGGCCCTTCACCACACTCACTAGAACATTAATTCCTCACAACCATTCTGCTCTCTGGCACCACTCAGCCCACGTTTTGCCCGTTACCTCTCCCAGTTACTATCCTCATCTCGAATTCCTCAAGTCCTCGCCCTAACTTAGCACGGATAAACCCTCACCAAACAGCCCTTCAAACGTCCAGGCAAATGCTGAGTTCGTTGCTCCCAGCTCTCATTACCTTTAATCTCCAGAACAGGGTATCCATGCCGGCCCCAAGATTAACAATTTGACAGTTGCACTCCGTCTTCTTTAGGAAAGCTTTAATCAGATAACTGACTCCATGAACACGAGCATAATAGCCTGTTAACAACAACAACAACAAAATAGTTTTTCATTTTTAATTATTGTTTTCATATAGTGCGTGATGTTTAACACCCGTTAAGATTTTTAGGTAATTTATTTTTTAAAATGGTGTTTCTTAAGAAGAATAATGCACTCTTTTTAAGACACCTAAGGGTGGATACCTTTTTAAGACACCTAAGGATTTTTGTGGTTTTAATTACTAACATATACTGACAAAACAAGATTGCCTGGGTTCGTCAATTTTCACCTGGACTGAGCAGAACAGCTCTAGCTGGTGTCTACGCGTTTGCAGAGACCAGAGCTGACACGTCCTGCTGTCCTGGGTCAAACCAACACTTCCAATTGCTTTGTAGAGCCTCCTGCACGCTGAGACACACAGGGACGTTCCGTTCAGAATGCAGAAAGCAAATGATCAGAGTTTTGACTTAAAGAATAATATTTAAAGGATCAGACATGGTGTGGAACTATTACTGTGAAGAAAACATGTCTCCTTCTTTTGGGAACTTCCTGCACTCGATAGCAGCCACCATGTGGGGGTTCTGTCAGGTCCCCTTCGAGACCACTTAAGAACACGTTTGCTCCATCTTTGCTCAAGTTCACGTGCCAACTTGCCTCTATTGATTTCAGGTGCTTTTCTCTCTTTGGCTTGTCTCACAAAATACTGGATGTAAGGGTCGTCCCAGTAGCCAACACTTACAGCAAATCTGTGCAGCAGAGGGGGGAAAAAAAGAGAACTATGAAATAAGGTTGCCAGGATTTAGTTTGAAAGACACACAAGTCACTCTCTGACCTGGGCATGTACACGCGGACAACGTTTAAAACCCCTGTTGAATGTGCAGAACTATTTCAATTAAGAAGTTATAGATAGCCTGGTTAAGAATATTGGCTCTCGCCATACTAAGCAAGCATCTCCTCACTGGCCTCTGCACTACTTGACCAACTTCTGCAAACAAAGACCCTCATCTCAAATATTTCCTCCTTGAGGATCCAGCAATGAGAGGAATTGTCTCAAGTTCCTCGTTGTGCACACAGAAGGACATTGTCCTTCGGGACATCACTACGTGCTTGCACTTCTTCCAGAGCTTGTACGCGGCACAGACAACAGTGCTGTCCTGTTCTAACAGAACTTACCAGTTTTACAACGGATTTGGAAACGTAAACTCTCAACAAACTCGGCCACCCCCAAAAAACCTGCAAGATGTCAAATTCACACCCAAGCACAACAGGGCGACAAAACTCCTCTCCCTCCCAGCGCCCACCCTGCAGCAGAGGGGAAGGGAAGGGTTTCTGAAAAACGTGAAGATGTTGTTTGTTTTTCCCCGAGATATCAAAGATTAGAGAAATCTCGGATCCCCTCCATTCGTACAACTCCAGCTCTGGCTGCACGCTGCCTTATAAACAAGCTCTACGTGGGAAACTCGGATGGGCAACAACAGGGAAGTTCACCGCGACCGTGGGGGCTGCAGCTGCGGGTCCCAGCGAAAAGCGTCTGCAGAGGGACCCCGCTCGGAC